TTTTAATAACAATGTTTATATGACTCTTAACCATAATAAGAGAGTAATGACCATTTTACAATTTATATATCACATTAATATGAAACTGCAATAGAGCAATTGTTTGTGATAGAAACCTAGGCATTAGGTCGGGGAATTTTTATCGTGATGACGTGCACGCCACTTTGTTTGGCGTTGACTATACCTGTCCGAATGTCTTGATTTACGATTATCAACCTTAATCATGGAACACACGAGGCTCAACTTTCAATAATGCACTAACAGACATGCAGTGCTACCAAGCCCAAAAATGCAGAATCACTATATTACTTATATTTGCGTTAAGCTGAACCTATAGGCAACCAAACTTACCCAAAGCCCTTACTACCACGCCACCATTGATGCGCTTACAAATTGATCAGAATTGCCAGGTGCGATGGTTTTTCATCAAATCTGGTAAAATTTCAAAAAAATATACCTACCCAAAAATGTATAATGTCACTTTAATCAGAAAAACGTCTAAGAACGAATCTTCGTCCTTCGATATCGTTAAATAATTGTCCCTCCATTAATATTTTTGAATACATCGAAAAATTATCAGAAGCTCGAAAAAATTTTGAAAATTGAATTTGGACACGGTTTGAAATCATTTGTTTTTTGATATTAACTGTGCCGCCACTGAATCGATTTTTAAAACATGGTAAAGCTTATGTCAATTGTCTTAAAAATAGAGGGATCAATGATTATCAAACAGACAGATTTTGATACGAGGTCTGTAAATGAAGTGATGAGACTGGTAACGTAGCGTTCGAACTGGCAACACTGGAGGCACTAGCCTTAGGAGGGGGACATGGAGCATGTGATCCACCTTCAGTACACGCTTGAACTTGCTCGAGTCGTTTGGTTGTCCGTAGGGATTTTTTCTTTGTGAAACATCAATTTTAAGCAACGGTGAGCTATCAGGTTTTGCTTCAGGCAACAGCCCCCGTTTTTGGGTGGTATTTTCAGAAGGAAGAGAGTCGATTGGAGATGAACCACGAAGCGTGAACCGACAGCATCCGGCATCTTGTGCGTTCACATCGTCGGTTCACAGTCAAAATGATCGGGGAAGTGTTAAATCTGACTCATACCTCCGATCATTAGTTCAAGAACAGCTGAGTGATAATGCTACTTGTCACAAAGCAATGTCAATAAACGCGATTTTGCCAGTAAAAAGAATTCCTGTGGCTCCTCAGTCTCCTTATTGCATGACTTGAGTTTTTATGACTATTTTCTGTTACCGAAGTTGGAATACCACCTCAAAGGAACTCATTTTGAGACAGTCGAAAACATTCACACGTTCCAGCACTGCTATGAAGAGATGAAGAACCGTGTCAGTGCTGCGTGGCACCAGAAGGAAGTTATTTTGAGGGTGACAGTATAAAATTATAATTATATTTGAATATGAAATTTAAAAAATCAGTCTCATCACTTAATTTACAGACCTCGTATTGCAATGCTTTCCTGGTATGGAAAACAATAAGACATAACATATTCACTGACTTCATTTCAACGTGTTATTATTTAAAAAGTGAGACCGTAAATTAAAATAATAACGACCACGGTCGTTGATAAACACATTTGGAAAACTATTTCATAGCTCTATAAAGTTACCGTAGCATGCGTTACTCATCTACTGCAATTACTTCACAGCTCGCGTTTTAAAATTTCATTCGAAACGCCTTATACAGGGTGCGGCAGAGAGGACGGACATTTTTGGGATGGGTAGTACTCTCCGCCTCCATCTACGAGAGAGGTGGGGAGGGTGCCGTTTGACTCGTGAGATCCTAGCATTATTTTACCAGGTGTCGTTATGGAGCCTTGGATGGTGGAGCACCGCGTTTTCGCCTATGATTGTTTCGTTCGAAATAATGAGTCAGTCATCGTCGTACAGCGTGAGTTTCGTCGCCACTTCAACATTCATCGGAATAGAGCTGTTCCCTTTCGAAACACCATCCTTCGTTGGGTTGAATCACTTCGCAGGCGTGGTGAACGGATCAAGAGAAGACCAAGAGGAGCGCCGCGAACAGTTCGAACTCCTGAAAATGTTGAACGCGTTCGACAGGTCTTTCTTCGCAGTCCGACTCGATCTGTCCGGAAACATGCTGCTGCACTTCGCCTTAGTAATCGTTCGGTAAGGCGAATTTTGCATATGGATCTCCGCTTTCACCCCTACAAATTGGCCATTGTGCAACAGTTACAGCCCGGAGATTATGCACAACGAATGAACTTCGCACGTGAGATGGAAGCACTGATCGATCAAAATGAGAACCTCATTTTGTTTATGAGTGACGAAGCCCACTTTCACAAGTCACAAGCCCCGAACTCTAGACGAATTGAAGGGCGAAATTCGCGTGGAAGTCGCCCAAGAGAGCGATGTTGGAGAGAGTCTACGCGAACTTCCAAGAACGCCTCCAGCACTGCATCAACGATTTCGGCCACCACATTCCTGATGTGATTTTCCACACTTGACTGTCTCAAATGCTATTTCCTTGTGAACCTGATTCCATCAATAAATTTGTTTTCGAGTAAAAATTAACTATTTTATGATTTTTTTAAAACCGTCCATCCTCTCTGCCGCACCCTGTATAAAAAAATAAAATTTGTTATTGTATATACCCGTACAACATTTTTGAGAATATATGATTGTTTCGCGTATTCATGTAGATCACACAAAGAAAAATGAAGTAGCAAAGTAACGTATTTATATAAATTTGTTTAAAATTTTAGGCGTACGAAAATTCTAAGAACCCTTGGTGATGGGTGAAACATGAGAATTGAGAATTAAAAATGTTTTGCACCTAAAATCTTTCTGACTTGGCCCTATAGTAACAGAGAGTTGAATAACGTCGATAAGCGAAAATTTGATTCTTTTTTAAACATTGCCCTGAAGTTCGACTACGCCCACAAATCATTGAGAACGTTATGAAATTATTCGTCTTTCTCTCACTCATTTTTGCGAACATTTTATCAATTTCAAACAGAGAAACATATCTCGATTGCCTGCAGATGCCGATTGGAAGGGGCCCAGAGACTTCTCAGTCTTTCCTTGGAGAGATCTTTGTTTCTCTGACGCGAAGGATGCATCGATAACCGAAATCATCCACGTTGGGATGAAGGAATACATCCCTCGTACAGTGAAAGCGCCTAAAGCAGAGTGCAATGGCTGGTTCAACAAATCGTGCGACACTGCTCGTCAGCAGATCAAGCCACACAGAACCTTCTTACAAAACCCCACTGTAGAGAACAGACAAGCCGCAGTCGAGTCCAGAAACCGATATAACGAAGCAAAATCTAAAAGTTAGTCACAGGGTAATGTCGCCGCACAATAGCAGTCGGTATTTCTGGACGCTGGCCAAGCAGATCGAAAGGGACGTCTCACAGAGCAGTCTTCCACTACTTACGTGTCAGGATGGAACGATTGTAACTCAAAGGCTAAGGCGAAAGTACTTGCCAAGAATCTTTGCTGCCAACTTGTCCATGGACCCCCAACACCCGAGTGCCAGCGCTTCAAAAAGGTCCCTATACTATGGGGGAAGTACCATTCACGTATAAGGCCGTAAAACGGGTGCTACTGTCGCTCTACATCAACAACGCTTCTGGTCCGGAAAGCGACTCCTGCCGTTGTATTGAAGAGCTTGCTCAGGTTCTTTCGCGTCTCTTACGAATCCGACACCTTCCCAGAAAACTGGAAATTTGCTCATGTCCACCCCATCCCAGAAAAGGGATCTAAGATCGACTCCTACAACTACAGGCATATAGAGACAGCTTCTGCTTAGCGACAGGCAGTAAGTATGGTTTCCGACACCAGCGATCATCAGGAGACCTCCTAGCTTACGTCACGCAATTATGGATTAATCTCATCCAGTCTTATCTTGCGGCTCATGTCGTTGCTCTTGATATCGCGAAAGCGTTCCTATGCAAACTTCCATCCTATGACCTCCCAGAGAAGCTTTGCAGATGGGTGGCTGACTTTTTTGCTGACCGCAAGATATCCGTTGTAATAAACGGGTTCTACTCTTCATCCCGCAACGTCAATGCGGACATTTTCCAGGGCTTCGGACAGGAACACCCTGATAAATATATCTACCCCTTCCCCCCTGAAAGGTACGGAGCAAATGAAAAAAGGAGGAGAGCTCATGAGTGAAAAAGCTTCATTGCTCTCCTGGGGTAGTCTAACAATAATGTTCGGATTAATTAACATATCAGTTCTACACATGTGTCTAACCTCTTGAACACAAGACAATTCGAATAAATATAAGAATATCTTCTTTTTACATTCCAAGGTGCTTTTCAAGTTCCGCATAGAGGTCAATCTAAGTGTATCCGATGATATCTCTATGATAATTGTATACAACTGAACAGATAAATTTTTTTAATGCGTATGTTCATGACAATGCATAACAAGGCACTCGGGAAATTTCATTTCTATATCTGTATCTTACAAGCTGATAAGTGATTATGTACATCGGTAATCCCTTGAATATGCGAGTGATTACTGGAAAATCCTATATTAGTACGGTCTTTATATTCAGTTAGTCCAGCAAAAACATATTGAGCTAAGTGCCTACTCAGTTTGAGACAAATAACACAAGTGAGGATAACTCAGAAAAAAGCTCAATTCCTTCTTAAATAAAAATAGTACAGTCGGGAGCAGAAATATTTGAGCAACGTTATCTGTAGATGTTATGAAAAATTGGAGCAAGCTTGCATAATCTGAATGAGTTGGCTTTTGGTCGATTTTTTAGTACCTTTTCATGAATCTCATTCTTCCGATAATATCAATGAAGACTACAGAAATTTTATCTATGTGGCGGGTTAGAGAATATTTTGTAGATCCGATAAGTTTTGAAGAGCTAAAAGTAGGGCCCAGGGAATTACGATAGAAAAGATTTAAATTTGTATGACCCTTCCCCAAGAACAACAAATTTATAGTCTATATAGATAATTAGCAATGTAACAATATGCCCGACGGCGCCAAACTATCTCAGATAGGCCTACATTTCTCAGCTACACCAAAATGTGTCCTTCTAGTAACCACCAAAGCCTATATTTTCCGCTAATGTCTCTTTAACTGGCCTATCTTTACTAATATTATTCATATATTCGAATTTAATGAGAGCATTTTTTGTACGATAACAATAAAAGTGCGAGTATATATAGGATAATCAACAATAAATGAAGTAAGATTGCAACAAGTACGCGAGTAAAGATGTTCAGACTAGCTCTTTTTGCTTTGCTGGGTGCAGCAAGCGCTGTTGAATTTGAGTTCAAAAACAATGGTGGTGAAATATGGGTTGGGATCCAAGGAAACCCTGGACATGCTGCGTTAGAAAATGGAGGATTTGCTCTAGGACAAGGACAATCGGTAAGATTACACTCTAATGTTTACATGGTAGCGCAATATATACGCTATAGTTTGAATTGTTTATATATATTTTGATTTATTTTTAAATATATGCTATACTAATGGGAAATCAGTTATAGATGATAACATCTCGAAATTTTGGATACATTGGCCTCTAGTACTCGTGCCCTTTCCAAATAATGTTTTCCGTAGATTTTTGCAAGATTTCTGGCGTAGTATTGTTTTTCGAATACACTTTCTCATATTTACGAGGTCTGTAAATTAAGTGATGAAAGGACCCAAGTCAGGGGAATAAGGAAGCTGGGGAGGATTCGTTTATTGTCATTGCTGTGTGACAAGGAGCATTATCGTGATGCCACACCCAGTTGTTCTGGATCTGATGAACGGTAGTGTGTCAAATTTAACTCTTCCCCGATCATTCTGACTGTCAACTAACGATATGAAAGCACAAGATTCCGGATCCTGTCGATATTTTCATCGGTTCTTGAAGATGAAGGTCTTACATTTCGTGGTTAATATTTATACGAATCTCTTCTGAGAATGCCTTAAACTATCGAAAAACCTGGGCACTTGACAAAACACTATCTCCGTAGGTGTGTTCAGCAAGAGTTTCCGCGTTACACTGTGCTCAAGTCTGAAGCAAATCCTGATAGCACACCGTTGCTCGAAATTGATGTAACTCATTTTTAGAACACCATACAAAAAACTGTCAAACAAAAAAAAATCTCTACGGTCAACCAAATGACTCGAGCGAGTTCAAACTTGTACTAAAGGCGGATCACACGTAACCCTGTCTCCCGTCCAAGCCCATCGCCTCCAGTGTTGCCAGATCAAACACTCGTGGCCAGTCTCATCACTTAATTTACAGGTCTCGTACATAATCCTGCAAATACCCTCAAAAGAAGTGCCCGGGAGCGCTACGCTCAGGGGAGTGCTTAGGCTAAATAAGCAGCTTAAAAGTATCTCCGTTGACTACTCCCTTGAAGTGGGTACTGTAGCTTCATCACGTTGAATCCACGAGTTTTAATAGTGTTCCACTGTGCCCATTAAAAAATGATGCAGCACTACTCGATTTTTTCAGCACCAGTAATTGAAACCGTCAGTACTGTGCATCGTGCTCTAGCACTAATAAGGTTCAATACTGTTCCTTTGTTGCCGAAAATTTGGAACAAAATGGATTATCCTTGGCCCTTTTTCCAATCCTAAAATGGAAGCGTGAAAAAATCGGTTAGTAACAATTTGCATCCAGTTCGGATGATCCACTTCCAAGATTTTGGAGTTTGATGGTTGAAAATCTTACATGAATGAACTTTGGAGCAACATCTAGACGTATCGATCAAGCAAACTAGCTAAAAATCGATTCACTTACAGAAAAAAAAAGTTATCGTTTCACATCGGGATTGTATTCTTGAGGGTATATGATAATGCCCCTCATTGAGAGATACAAAAAAATTTGCGAGGTAAATTTTCAAGGTCTGAAAAGAAACTATTTTTCAACTTTTTAGTGGTAAGCATACTAGGTAAGACTGACAAAAAATGTCGGACTTATTCAAGTTGTTTATAAGGCAAAAATAGACATACCCTTGACGACGCTTTCTCATATGGTTTCAATATAAGCAAATATACTGCCTCCTTTAATACGATGTTGAAAGTTCTCTATAACAACAGGATAAGCCGAATATGAGGCCATTTGATTGATACAAAGTCAATGGACAGCTTATTAAAAAAGGCCTTCTTACTCAAAAAAAGTAATAATTACAAATTTGCAAACCGTCGAGCATTTATTTCAGACTTACCGTTATGGATCTTCAATAACAAGTAAGTGCAGAAATCGACGATTTTTGGAGTTTCTTTGTAATAACAAATTTTTACAGTAAATTGGCCATGTAAGATCTCTTTTTGAAAGTATCTTATCCCCTGTAGTTTTTTTTTAGAACACTTACACCACAACTATTAGAATATACACTGAGAACTGAATTGCCCATTTTTGATGTTCAATAAAAAGGTTACCCATCAACTTTTGTGTTTCATATACCTTTACGAAATAGCCTTTTATAATTTCTGTTCTCGAATTCTACCTCCTAAAATCCTGGTCTAGGGCTTGCCTTGCTAATTTTTTTTTAAGGAACTATCACCTTATACTGCAGGGTAGCTGCCTAAAAACAAATAGACTAACTGTATTCCACATGGGATGGCATCGGTTTCTTATGAAATCCTTCGGTATTATTACTGAAAAGAAATAAGGAGATGTTTTTATATTGAAGGTAAAGGAATTGCTGATGTAAAAATATTATCTTTTTTAAAGAAAACCGTGCGTGCTGCAGACAACTGGGCCGGACGTTTCTGGGGAAGGACCTGGTGCGACCAAGGATCCAAACATTGTTTGACTGGTGATTGTGGAAACAAATTGCAATGTGCCGGAGCTGGAGGAGTTCCACCAGCCACTTTGGCCGAAGTTACACTGAAAGGAGATGCAGGAAAGGACTTCTACGATATTTCTTTGGTAGATGGATACAACATCAAAATGTCGGTAAGTATAAACACCAAGTTAACTACTTGACAACACGTTCTTTCGTGCGGAAAATTGTGGCGCGTGGAACGTGGCATTTGGCCCAAAAGGACAGAGCGACGAAGATACCATGTTTGCCCAAACAGGAGTATAATGTTTCCAGATGGTTTACTACAAAATTGGCCGTAACTTTCCAATTCCAACTAGCCGCAACGCAACATAGTCGATTTTTTTAACCCTGTATAAAAACAGCTGAACGATTTAGGATTGCCTCATTTTTAAGTTGAAAATACGTACTCTTGTTCAGCATCGGTAAAATGAGCCGTTTTCGCAATAATACATGCGCTTATTTCAGTACAGCTCTATGAGTTTTTGTCGAACTTTTTGTGAATCTCGCTGCTGTAGATCCATATAATCAGTATTGAAACAAGACTGTTTTCTTCAAGGACGGCTGATTCTATCCAAATCAAACAAAAACACATATTTTCCATCTGACAGGTTAGGCTTCTAAAGATACTGATTTTCAGCAATATTGCACTGGGCTACTCCGTCCCTGATGATTTAAATGAGCCTGTTGGTCATGGACAGTGTCTTTCAAGTTACTTAAGAAGGACCAAATTTCAGTGGCGTTTTTTAGGGACACCTGTATTTCCGTACTAATTGAGTTGTAACGAATAAATTAAAACTAAAACTAGGGGAGCCCCGTACACATTTTAATAAGAACTTGTGGATTACTTATTTTTTTGATACATATTAATGAAATTACTGATCTACCACTATCAATTTCTTATTTTGCTTACCATGCCACTGACGAGTATGTATTGTAATCGTGAAAAATTTCAACCATGAAATGTGTTTTTTTGTTGTTATATGACATCTACATCACGAAAACCATGTCACTCATTTCTGTTGGTCTGTCTGTCTGTCCACTCATATGTGTACTTAGCCCATCTATCACTTGGAAAGTTACCCGATTTTGATGCAATTTTCGCACCAGCTTACTTCAATGTCAAGGACGAAAAAGCTTTGTAGTTTTTATAAATCGGTCCAGTAGTGGCGGAGCTAGAGACAAAAAAAAGGAAAAAATAAAAATTGCTAAACACCGTATTCTCCTAATTAATTTCAGTAAAATTTTGTAGACGTTAAAAATCGGGGGTTGCAAGGGTGGGTAAAGGATATCTCAATGTTTTTGTGTTAGTATACATTTCCCCTTAAAACTTGTAATAATTGAGGAATATTTTCAACGCGCTTTTTTAGTTTATAGGTGTAGCCTCACCGATGACTGTCGTGCCGTCACTGCCGGTCGGGGGGCGAGGTTACTCATAGCAAATGTTGCAAGGTTTCTATGGACTAATAGTATGTGCCTGTTGGACTGGCTTGATACGTTAAGTTTCTTTGAAGCTATTGATTTTCTGAGAGCCAAACATAATACTTCATGAACTAATGGCAGCGTTGCGTGGGAATTGCAGGTTCAAACTACATGACACCTTTTTTCAATTACGATTTTTATTTCCAGATGTCGCCAATTGGAGGCAGCGGTGATGGCGGCCAATACAGCTGCAAAAGGGCCGGCTGTGACTTCAACATCAACGACGATTGCCCAGACGCTTTGCGCGTCAACAGCAACCATGGTGTTGTAGCCTGCAAATCGGCCTGTTTGGCCTTCAATAACGACGAGTACTGCTGCAGGGGAGCCTTCAATGATCCCAAGAAGTGCAAGGCTGGAGAGTTCGCGAACAAGTTCAAAGCACATTGTCCTGATGCCTACAGCTACGCTTACGACGATCGCAAGAGCACTTTCACTTGTCGGGCCAACAAGTATCTTATAACCTTCCAATAATTGCAATAAATATTAACTGCATATTTTGTATCTTTAGTCTACGAACTTTGTGCCTCCTTCGTCTTATCTCCCGAATTTTTTGCGTTTTTACTTCCCATTCAAATTAAGCTCAGTTTATCGGACCGTCCTCGAAGTAGTAGTTATACTTATTTACCATCAGATTTACCATACAAAAGCTTTCATTCTTTTTTCTTTACTTCTGGTGTGGATGACCCAACCGACAGAACAGAATCCTGACCGGCGCGGCGTACCAAGCGACAGAAAGGGGTGAATAGAAGAACATGCTAATATTTTTGTCAGATTATTCGTTCAACCTGCTATGGAAATAACGGTCAATAACGAACTACACTGGTCTCTTGTTATTTTCATTTGCCACCTGTAATACTGACTTTACTAACACCTGTTAATGCCCCTTATAAAGGAAATACATAAAAGGGTCTGCGACGCATCCGGTTGTATAAGGCAGGTATAAAAATTATCACAAAAATGGGCCTAATTAAATACATGTCTATATGGAGCAGGTTTTTATCATCTCAATAACAAATAAAGGTATATTTACCTTTAATATTGATTTTTATATACTTGAGATCTGGAAAAAGAGACCAGGGAAGAATGAGGAACCTCCGACAATGGTTCAACCCAAACCTGACTACCACTAGACTTTTTACAAGGATTCAACTGTACGACTCTGACAACGGTTTGTAGACATAGTTTCTGTCACCGAGTACTGCCTGTAAGGGTCGGTTTAATAATCGTCAGTTATCTCTTATATAGTAGTCTCTGAAGATTTTGAAAGCAGTCACGTTCAGTCAGTACTGCAAAAAGCTTAATAGAGAAAACGACGGTAAGGGGCAACCGCTCTCGTTCCTAAAAGCCACGAAGTAATCTTTTTCAAATAAAAACGAGGTCTGTAAATTAAGTAATCAGACTGCTAAAGTAGCATCCGACGTTTCAATACTGGAGGCGCCGGGCTTGAAGGGGAGACAGAGTTACATGTGATCCGCCTTCAGTACAAGCTTGAACTCACTCGAGTCATTTGACTGACCGTAGAGATTTTTTTTGTAAAACAGTTTTTTCTATTGTTCTAAAAAAGTGACATCAATTTCGAGCAGCAGTGTGAAATAGACTTGGGCACCGTGCAACGGTAACTCTTGCAGGCCTATGGATACAGTGTTTTCTCAAGAGCCCATATAATTCGGTAGTTTAAGGCATTTTCAGTCAATTAAAGATGAACAAAGCGGAAGGCCTTTATCTTCAAATACCGATGAAAATATCGACAGAATCCGGGATTTTATACGTTTAGATCGTGGATTGACAGTGACAGTCAGAATGATCGGAGAAGAATTAAATTTAACTCATTCCACCCTTCATCAGATCAAGAACAACGATCGTGATAATGCTCCTCGTCACACAGCAATCCCAATGGCTTCTCAGCCTCCTTATTCACCTGACTTGGGTCTGTGTGACTTTTTCTTTTCCCGAAATCAAAGAATCACCTCAAGGGACCTCATTTTGTGACAGTCGAAAACATTCAAATGGCTGTAACCAACCAGCTGAAAGCTATTCCAGTATCGGACTTCCAGCACTGCTATGAGGAGTGGAAGAACCGTCTCCAGCGCTGTGTGGCCTTAGAAGGGAGTTATTTTGATGGTGACAATATAAAATTGTAATTATGTATGATTAAAATTAAAAAAAATCAGTCTCATCACTTAATTCGCATACCTCGTAGAATTAGAATGCGGGGAAAAGCGAAAAAATTAAAACCGTACAAAGCTAGTTTTACATGGTTTCCTAAGCTTTTAATCTAAAAAACGTGGCGTTAAGATTTCTGTATTTTTCAAGTGTCAAGGCGTAGAGCGAAGGGTAGCAAATTTTCTGTGGAGGAGGAGGGGGGTTCATCATAAATAATGTCCAAAATTTAACCCAAAGGCATGCTAAATATGCAAATCGGATTCGAGGGGGAAGCTCGCCCTCTTGCACGCCCCTACAGCCGGCCATGCATCTACCAGACGGAATTCTTAATAAGAACTATCGCCGAAGTAATATCAGAATACTAACTTGTTAATGATACCCAAACAACGATCGTCTGTTTACGGCAAGTTCAAGATTAAGCAGTCAGATATCAACGCAAAAACATTCAACATAACAGCACTTCTTTGTCGTACATAGACGCGGGTACTCGGGTAGTACCTGCTCCGTCGAATATATAAGTCACGCGAAGGAGTGGAGGAAGGGAAAGAAACAATGCAACAGCAGACCATCATTAACTATTCGTGGTCAAAATAGACCCATCGGTTGGGTTCTTCAGTATGCAGCGCGCACTGAGACGGTACTGAAGGCGAAAGGTTGATGACCTCGGGTTAGTGTCGTACCAACGAGGAGGTATAGGTCGTACTTAGACGGTCGGTTCGGTGGTTTCGCCGCAGGTACTAACGTTATTGTGAGGAGCTTAACTATGAACTTGAATACACTGTTCAATTACGTGCTGGGCAGTACGAATTGGATATTTCTGGGATGATTCATCACGAAGAAATTTCACGTGGAGTTAACATCTCATGATAGGTACTACTAAAACGTTGGAGATCGATGTTATCGTCTTTTTTTAATGTTGTTAGCTTGGCTGGTTAAAGTATCTATACACGTGTGTATAAGATAAAAAAATTAGAAGGAGCACTAACGAGTAGTAATTCAACTTTCTTTTAATCGCCTTATTGTCTTGCAATATAATTGTAAACTAGGCTAGATTTGGATAATTATCTTGTAACCATCAGGATAATGATAACAATGAGATCCTCAATAATAAAAATATAAAAGGAGCTGTTCACAATAGAACCGTTATTGAATGATAATCCTTCATTGTTTACTGAATTTTGGAAACGAATATGTACTTATCACCATATCAACTTCGGACGTATGGATCGATTTTGTGTGTGTCACATATGGACTATTCATGATAAATCCTATTGTTAAACGTTCATTATCGGATGTACCTAGTAGACTGTTTTTACCAGGTGTCACTCTTAACAAGGGGATGACCTGACAGAAGCACACTGAAACGTTAAATTCCAAATTACGTTTCCGCAAATATCACTTATATTATGTAGAACTTGAAAATTAAGTTCGATCAACAACTTCGGCTATACAAGATGGTTATTGGATCAGCAAAAACTTAAGGATGCACGGCTAGGTATTTTTACGCTTACGAAGTCTTCAGAGCAGAACCCTGCAAACTATCACTAACGCTCCATTGTATGTCTTCAAAGACCCTTCATAGAGACCTCGACATCCCTTACCTAAAGGACTATGTCAAACAACGGGCGCAGCGTTATAGTTGAGCAGAATTGCACAAAAACCTCTGTGCGGCTCGCACTGTGAACAAAATTATAACGTGCAGTTTTAGGTCCAAGCAAATTTACGATTTTTTCCACTGCAACCAATCTCTAAATAAACTTAAGGTACCCTTCTAACTGACGCACTTTCTTCTCTTTGCTCTTCCTTTTCGTTTCTTTCTTCATCCCTTCATGACCTGAAAGGCCTGCATATCTTTAACCAAGAGCAAAGGTCCCACGGACCGCTCTGACAAACTGACGAATAAACTTTGCTTGTCATACACTTATAGTCATACAGGTACCATTGTTCGGTGTACATACTAAATAGCTTTCTTGAATATGAAATAACCAGTAAAGTGACAACTTGGTAGGCCTATTATTTATCGAACATAAATGTATTTCGACAAGAAGTAAAATAACCACGCACCTCACTGTCAGTAAACAAGCACTTTGAATGTACATACTAGCATTGGTAAATTAGATGAAATAAAGCAATAAAATACTCTACTATTCGTCATTATTCGTCAGAGCGGTCCGGTGGACCTTTGCTCTTAGTTAAAAGTCTCGTTGATCTGTCAGGTCTGGCTACCCAGATACCAAACATGTTTAAGGGGAAAAGGGAAAGAAAGGAGGGAATAAATAGAGCAAAGAAAAGAAGTAAATCATTTGAAATAGTTTAAGCATTATTGCTTTGACTACTCGAATTATTTTGTAACTCCAAAAAATAATTTTGATCGGTTTTGTATACTGAAAAAATTTTGGCTGGTCTGAATTTACAATTTAATGTTGAACACAGTGCGAGGCGCGGCCTGGAAAGTTTTCGAACTTGCTCGACTGTGTTGTCAACTGAATCACGCAACAGAGGGTTGCTGTGCGATTCCGCTTGATTATAACGCCTGTTGTTTTACGTAATCTCTTAGATGTGGAATATCAAGATCTCTGTGAATAGTCTCATTTGACACGTACCAAGGGTCGTTAGTAATTGTGCGTAATAAAACACTATTTCACCAAAGAGGGACAACTTCATCAGGTACACCATATTCTTCCTCCATTTGACCAAATTACAAATATATTTTTGTCAAGCTAAATATTTTTGACCCTTCCCTAAAAAGCTTTTTTGAATAAATAAAAAAAAGATGAGGTTCACGAAAACGATACTATGTTGATGCTTGGAGCATGGCTAGGTCATATCATATCTCTAGTATTTTAAAATCATCGACAGATTAAGCGAAAATGGATTAGCGAAAATGAGTGATACCGATGTTTGTTACTGAAACGCATAAAACATCCAAATTATTTTTAATGCATTCACTAGACTTTTTCTTATTACTGCAAATTCAAAATGCATTTCACTAACCGAAAGCAAAAGACCATATTCATGTCCAAGGGAGATTTGACAGATTATCTATTGTCATCGTCACGTATTAAAGCATAGGCCAGTGTTTGAGAGAAATCCACTCTTATCTGTTAGCCAATAGGTGGTTTTTGGGTTGTACTGTAACATGAAATATGATGTTCATATATTTCGGTTTAGATTGTGCTGTCAAGACCACTATATTTTCTAGAACGCGAGTCCGACACATGTTGATATCGTAATAAGTTTTAATGCAGTGGTATGCCAGAAGCAGCCTGAAAGAGTTTGGAAAGAATGCGATAAGTATCTTTGTCTTAACTCTTATATTCACACGCCTATTTGCTGAAAGCTAAGAGCATCGTGGGGGAACTGAATTAATCTCCGTTGGACAAAAAGGGAAAACATCATGGGACTGTAAGCAAGTATGAGTCATGTGGAGTCAACTGAAGCCTGACAAAGGTGCAAATATTTCGTTGTAACCATTTGTCAAATCAAAAGAAAATTGTCAGTTTGTAATTAAGATCGTACCCATCCTCAAATCAAGTGTTATTTAGATGTTAGCTAGGCGTATCTCTGTCGTCATGCACCAAGTGAACGCAGCAAGAATACCCTGTCCACAAATTATTTCCGAATTATTTTGTACTTGTACCTACTAATTAACCAACATGTGTTTGGGCTCTAAATTCTATAATCATAATGGTACATAACGTGTATTTCGCTAAAGAGATAACTTCAAGTCCGACGGCCAACGATAGCTGAGCAACTATCCTCTATCCAGAGTATAAAGTCTATCGAAATAGGACAGTAGAAAGAGTCATGTTTTACCAGAATCGACCACTACGAAACTGAAAACAGCTGACGTCTAGTTAGAAAACCTACATAATGTCAAAGCACCGACATAATGTCACTTTTCTTGTTACGCAATACCCCTGCGGCACGGGTATTATGTAAAAAACGTATAAAACATAAAAAAACCTATAAGATGTTTCTTGAAGACTAGGTAGTTTTTAGGGCGCAAACACTCATTCCGCGTTTGCTCACTATCGGATCATTGTGAACGTCCATCTATGGAGGAATCACTCAACTAAACTACACGCATTGTTGGTTGCATATGTTTTGTGGGGCCGAGTAGTCTGTCGTTTTTATCTCTGAGAAAAAAGTCGGTTGAATAGCAAGATCGCGTCTGTGTACGTATTTATAAAATCAATACTGAATATGCTGTCAATAAAGTATATCTATTAGCTGTCCCCTACGAGTTATTTATGTTGTGCTTTCTGAAGAAAGGTTATGTTCAAAGTTATAAATTACGAAAAACTTTGGGGAGAACTACGGGAAATCATCACCGTTCCCGCATTGTGTGTAATTACTGTTGGCATGTATATGGCTTGTAATTCGACAGTGTATAGTGAATTATTTCTTATGTCTCTCATTTTTGAAATTCAGCAAATTTGCATATGTAATTTCCAGAGTGGATAAGAAAAAGTAGATGCGCAACTAATTTCTAGCTTTGAATCTCAATTAAGTGTATTTTAGACAAGAATCCAATGGAATTATCATCAACACATACAACTTACAGCTGAATCTGAAGCAGATTTTACATCACATCCGAGCCAAACATTGAAAAATGCCTACAACTAAGTGCTAAGTTAAGAATCGATATAACGTCACTTTTCAAGATACGTAATACCCGCGCGGGTCATCTAGAAGCTGCCAATTGTTTTGCCCGTTGTTCTCCCTGAGATCAAGCCTAGATCAAGCTGAGGAGTTTCCGAATAGCACAAAACAGATGTCCATGGACGGCCGTCTCTGATAGGACGAACGAAAGCTATATTACTAGTTTGTTCAATGGCGAGTAGGCCGTACCTGCTATAGCGCCAGAATCGAAGGCATCTAGCGGCCATAGTGTTTCTCGACTGACAATGCGAATTGGGATACGGTTCCAATAGACAGCTTCTTGTTTTCACTCTCGCAGTGGTCGATTTTGTTAATCGATGGTACTTTGAGCTGTCTTATTTCGATTGAGTTATATGTTGTCTTATAATTACATACATGTATTCATTCATCTTTTCAGATAACCGTCAAGATGCTGCAATGTTTCGGCAACAACGTGTATTCCGTACGCTGTAAAATAGTCTTTCTGGATGAAACGGAGCTGTTCCACGAGATCCAAAATGACAGCAGAGGCCAAGCGTTGCTGGACATCGTATTTCGACACCTCAACTTGCTGGAAACGGCATATTTTGGGCTCCGATACCTGGACGAACATGGACAAACCCATTGGTTGGACCCAACTAAACAACTGAACAGGCAAATGAAAGGCGCTGAACCCTACACTATGTACTTCGGAGTAAAGTTCTATGCTGCAGATCCTTGCAAACTATTGGAGGAAATCACTAGATATCAGTTTTTCCTCCAAATTAAACAGGATATACTGCAAGGAAGGCTTCTTGTCCCGTTCGACCTAGCTGCAGAGCTAGGTGCTTATATTTTGCAATCAGAACTTGGTGATTACGATCCAAGGAGGCACAGTCCCGGATACGTTTCGGAGTTCCGACTATTTCCAGAACAAAGTATTGAGCTAGAGATGAGAATGGAGGAGCTGCACCATACACTAATTGGACTTCATCCATCTCAAGCTGAAATGAAATATCTGGACAAAGTGAAATGGTTGGAGAACTACGGCATTGACTTACATCCAGTATTAGGTGAAGATCATACAGAATACTTCTTAGGGCTAACTCCCAGTGGTATAATTGTTTTGAAGAACAAGAATATAGTCGGGAATTACTATTGGCCGAGGATAACTAAGATATACTTCAAAGCAAGGTTTTTCATGTTAAGAGTTACTGATAAAAACAACGATGAGTGCACATACGGCTTTGAGACTCCTTCAAAGTCTGCTTGTAAGCACTTGTGGAAGTGTTGTGTGGAACACCACGCCTTCTTTCGACTAGTTCAAGTTACACCGGCGTCTCCAGATATTTTCGCGTTAGGTTCGAGGTTTCGATATAGCGGAAGGACTGAAAAACAAGCACTGAGAGATGCTGAAATGAAACTGAGACAACCTCCTGCGTTTTCTCGGAAACCTTCAAAAAGGTACTCGAGAAGATCAAATGTAGCTCCGAGGGAGCGTCCAGAAACATATAGCCACCCTCCAGAGATGAAGCATATCTCGCTACCTTTACCAGCAGATTCTTTTGATACTAGTTACCATACGACCACAAGGAAATGTGATTCTCCTCGTAGCACCCGAAGCGCACCATGGACTCAACCACATTCCAGGGGCCTGTATAATAATAGCTCTGCACCAGCTAGTCCAAGGTAAATTTGTTTGTTTGTTTAAGATTTATTTAGCATAATTGCTACAATTACATTCTTCTAAAAAACTAAACAATTACATAACATTTTGCATCTCTAAGAATATTCATTGTCCATGAAATATTGCTTTAATTTTATTTTAAATATCTTTAAATTACAAGTAGACTTTATATCATTATTTAGTTTATTAAATTCAAGTAATCCTTTCTGAAATATTGATTTGCTAGTTATATTACTATTGCAATTTTGTAAATGAAAATCTATATTGCCTCTTGTATAATAATTGTGGTAATGATTATTCAATTCTATGTACTCGTAGTGTTCTAAATGTTCTGGCAAAAGATGATTTTTTATTTTAAATATAAAAATAAGAACCAAATATGATATGAAATTTTTTATATTCAACCACTGCAATTGTTGTAACATAGATTTTATTTTGGTGTACTTATTTTTATTCAATATTATTCTCATAGCTTTATTTTGCAAAACTTGTAATTTTGAGAATTCAGCTTCATTGGCAGTGAAAAAGATAGTTGAACAATATAGTAAATGTGGTAGAATGATTGTATTATAAAGTATTTTCTTGGAATAGAAGTCATATAAAAGTAATTTGTTTTTTTTGACAATTTTTGAAATAATGTATTCATAGTGATCCTCAAACTATCAATATAACCTAAATATTTAATTGATTCAATATTTTCAATTACTTCTCCATTTATCCTAACTGTGATAGTATTTTCATTTAGGTATTTCCCTATTACCATACATTTTGTTTTAGAAGTATTCAATTTTAGTTTATTTACATTTAGCCAATTTACGATTTTTGCCAAGTCAGAATTTAGCATTTTTAAAGCAGTGTCTATATTTTCATCTGATATGTATATTAATGTATCATCTGCAAATATCTGAAGTTTACAATAATCTAAAATACTACAAATGTCACTAATGTATAAAATAAATAGTAGTGGACCTAGTTTACTACGTTGTGGTATACCAACAGAAATATTTTTTGATCTTGATAATGTAGATCCAATTTTGGTTTTTTGACTTCTGTCAATTAAATAGTTTTGTATAATTTTGAATATAGATCCTTTAAATCCGTAGTGATGCAATTTTGTAAGTAATTTATCCCTGTCAATAGTCTCAAACGCCCTTTTGAAGGTAGATTTCAAACTCGGGTACATTTTAGTTACAAAATCAGCGCTCCAGCGTTTCCAAACATAATTTACAAGTTGAGCGAAAGTGATCTAATAGTATAAATGTGCCATGAATTTTACAAGTGGCATCATATTTCATTATAATTTGACATCTGTATTTTCTTAGAATAGAAGTCCTATAAAAGTTATTTGTTTTTTTTTGACAATTTTTGAAATAATGTATTCATAGTGATCCTCAAACTATCAAGATATATACCTAAATATTTAATTGATTCAATATTTTCAATTACTTCTCCATTTATCCTAACTGTGATAGTATTTTCATTTAGGTATTTCCGTATTACCATACATTTTGTTTTAGAAGTATTCAATTTTAGTTAATTTACATTTAACCAATTTACGATTTTTACCAAGTCAGAATTTAGCATTTTTAATGCAGTGTCTATATTTTCATCTGATATGTATATTAATGTATCATCTGCAAATATCTGAAGTTTACAATAATCTAAAATATTACAATTGTCACTAATGTATAAAATAAATAGTAGTGTACCTTGTGGTATACCAACAGAAATATTTTTTGATCTTGATAATGTAGATAAAATTTGGGTTTCTTGAATTCTGTCAATTAAATAGTTTTGTAGAATTTTGAATACAGATCCTTTAAATCCGTAGTGTTGCCATTTTGTAAGTAATTTATCCCTGTCAATTGTCTCAAACGCCCTTAGGAAGGTAGATTTCAAACTCGGGTACATTTTAGTTACAAAATCAGCGCTCCAGCGTTTCCAAACATAATTTACAAGTTGAGCGAAAGTGATCCAATAGTATAAATGTTCCATGAATTTTACAAGCGGCATCATATTTCATTATAATTTGACATCTGTGTTGTACAAAGATGGGTAGAAAATTAATCGACAATAAGCAAGTGAGCAATATACAACATGGTGTTCATTTGAAAACTTTCCACCACATATTTATCAAAAAACACTGAAAACCTTTCAAATGAACACCCTGTATGCTTCAAGAACGAGGAGATACTGAACAGCAAATTTGTGAAGAATCTTATTTCTCACTGTGGCGATTTGAACTGGCCGGCCAGATCACAACATCTAATTTCTTTGTTTGAGGCTTTTTAAAATTTCAGATCTGTCGCGACAAGTACAAAACTTAAAAGCAAATATTGAAAAAGAAATCGACAAAATATTGGGACATACGTTTTGCGAACGACAATTTAAACTTTATAATTATATTATTTTTTCACCTTATTTTATCCATTTAAATAAACTGTCCCAAAACCAGGAGCGAATTCTATGGTGGGGTCCTCGGCATAGGAGTGTGAAAATTTGATCAAACTCCGAGTGGTCCTATCTAAATTATAGACGGGCCAAGGATTAGCGGACAGACAGACAGGTCGACAGACTGATGGAAATGAGTGATATAGTTCTTCGTGCATATCATATATAACATTCAGACAATATAATATCTTATTTTTGAGATTGTTTGCTATCCCAATACATTTTTGACACCGAAGCAGCCGCAGAGGCAGAAGCCTTCTTGATCCGATTTTTGAGCTGACTTGGTCGCAATTTTTTCATATAGCATGGCGACACAAGCGCCAAGGATACGAGGTACCAACGTAAAAATTTGGAAAGAGCTTCTGAAAATACATAAAAGGAGGACTTAGCTTTCCAAAGAGTTCCAGGCGATACTACTAAAATCTCAATCTAATGATTTCCCGTGTATTACAGTAAACATTGCCGCATCGTCGCAGTTATCGATTTCAGAAAAAATCTCAAATACGTAAATTATTAAAGGGAATTTTCTCTAGTAGCATTTTAGAATTAGGAAGATGGGTTTTATGAAAAAAAGTGTTTTTGGCCTCCATTTTTCAAACATGCCCCCTTAGGCGGAAAAGATGCAAGGTAGCAACCTGAAAATTTGGAAAAAATCCTTCTCAAAATTCCTAGTAAAGCTACCAAATGACTCCACCAAAAAATCAATGGATGTCATCAACGTTTTTTTAGTACTCGATATTTGACGCATTAAGTAGGATAAAAAACACCAGACTAGGAAATGATGGCATTAGCATACATCTCGTCAAATTGTGTGTCCCGTATATTTTACCATATTTGGTACATCTTATTAATACAATTTTTCTTGAGGGAAAATATCCAAAGTACTGGAAAGTGGCCTTAATAGTCCCAATTCCAAAATGTAAGGAAGCTGAACAGCTATCAGATCTTCGTCCAATAAGTATTCTAGCTGGTCTCTCGAAATTGGTTGAACAAATTATTGAAATACAATTAAGAACACATATTGACAGTCAAAGTATCCTTCCTAAAACACAGTCAGGTTTTCGTCCAGGATACAGTTGCACCACTGAACTTGCTAAAATAACTGATGATATCATTCCGTCGAATGATCTGGGTGAGTCTACCGCTTTAATACTATTAGATTTCAGCAAGGCATTTGACACAATTAACCATGATGTCTTGCTGTCTATCTTAAAGTTATGAGGATTGTCTACTGACAGCGTAAAACTTTTTAATTCATATTAAGTGGCAGATCACAGTATGTACAATTGAAGAATGAAATATCTAGTTCAAAGCTCACTACCACAGGTGTATCGCAAGGATCTATACTTGGACCATTGCTCTTCGCTATATATACTGGTCAGATCCTTAAATGTTAGGAATTCTGTAAGTCACACGCTTATGCGGATGATACCCAGCTGTACTATTATTTTCCTAGTTCAGATTGGCCAGCTGCCGAGTTGAAAATAAACAGTTACTTGACTTACCTCTCTAAAAGATTGCAAGAGCATTCATTAACATTAAATCCAAATAAATCAGCTGCTGTGATCTTTGGTAAAGACCGTTCTTATGTGATTGAGAATTTAAATATAACCATAAATAATATTAGATTCAAATACTGTGATAAAGTAAAAAACTTAGGCTTAACAATGGATTATAATCTGAGGTTTCGTGAGCACATATCAAACTGTATCAAAAAATTTTATCTGGCTCTAAAATTATTGTAACCTCACCGAAATTTTCTCAATTTAGACATCAAAAGAATTCTCTGCGAAACCTTGGTTTTATCGCAGTTTTCGTACTGTGTTCCAATTTAATCTGCATGTTTAGATTGTGATATATTAATGCGAACACAGAGAACACAGAATTCATGCATACGTTTTATATATAGTATAAGAAAATTTGAAAGAGTTAGTCATAAGCTGAAAGAACTCCGGTGGCTAAATATGAAGGCTCGTTGTGAGATATTCACAATATGCTTTTATCATAACATTTTAACTCTCAGGCAGCCTCATTACCTCTACGACAGAATAACATTCAGAAAAGACATCCATTCCGTAAATATTCGTTCGAAACAAAACATTACCGCTCCATTCCACAGAACTACATTTTACGAAAGATCATTTACGTATAATATATATAAGCTATACAATTCTATCCCCCAGTACCTCAAATCATATGAAATTCATAAGTTCAAAGCGGTTTTGCGTGATTCTTACCTTAAATGTGTAAAGTAGAATTATTCTTACTGCTGCTTCGAAATTTCAATTTTATTTTGTTTGCATTCCATTATTTTATTTATATTTTTTTTTCATATGATGCACAATGTACGTATATATATTCATATAACATTCTAAACTTTTAAATTTACCACCACATTTTCTCTTTGCTCTTTTTTTTCAAACTTAATTGTCGTTCATATTGGCGTTTGTTTATGCGGTATGTATAGGTGTATATATGTGTATATATATACAGGGTTTGTCCGGAAAGTAATAGGACTGAGTCGATTCAAAAAAATTATTGAGCCAATCGTTACGATTTTTTAAAAACTTTCAATATAGGCTCCTTCTGCGTCGATGCAGCGCTACCAGCGCGATTTCCAAGCATTGAAGGCGTCACGGAAGGCATTCTCCGGAGAGTCGCGGTGCATGCTGCTTGGATCCCCTCTGTCGTCTCAAAATGCTTGCCTTTCATCGGGCTTTTCAGGCGAGGAAACAAATAAAAATCCGGGGGGCCACATCTGGGCTGTCGGGCGGCTGCGGAAGCGTTGGGATGCCGGCCTTAGTCAGGTAGCTGTTCACAAGAAAGGTGGTGTGAGCCGGGGCGTTGTCGTGGTGCAACTTCCAGTTGGCTGCGATGTCTTGTAGGACCCGACTGACCCTTCGTTTGAGTCTCCTGAGCACTTCCACGTAAAACTTGGCGTTGGCGGTTTGTCCAGGAGGAACAAATTCATGGTGGACGATACCTTTGAAGACAATGAGCATCGTTTTCACTTTGGATTTGCTCATTATTCCCTTTTTTGGGCGAGTAGATGCTGTCGTGTGCCACTCGGAAGATTGCCTCTTTGTCTCGGGATCATAAAAATTTCACACATGTTCAAATTTTCTTGGTACACTTCCACTCGCCGCAAATTCTGGTCGTCAGTGAGCACTTTTGGGACCGTCTCCGAGCATACCTTGCGCATGTCCAAATGCTGTGTCACAATGTCATGAACCACAGATTTTGGTAAATTTAATATCTGTGCAACTAAACGAATACTTAGTCGATGGTCTGAGTTCAAAACTTTGCGCACACGAGTCACATTATCGGTGTTTGTCGAAGGTCTTCACCAGCGATCTCTTCCCGGCCCTCCAAAAAGACCTGGTGCCATCGAAACACACCACTTCTTGCTAAAGCAACACCTGGGTAAGCCTGCTTGATCATATCAAACGTCTCTGTCGCAGATTTACCGAGTTTCACACATAAATTAATCGCGTACCTCTGCTCTAACGAACGCTGCATTTTCGGCTTGTACCTCTCACAGAAACACGTCGCGCGAAAATGCCTGTCCTGACTCTCCAAGTGCTCGGAGACAACTCACCAGCCGCTCATTCGTTAGCTAGGAACGCCCTCTAGCGAATCCAGTCGGTGCGCGCACTCTCCGAAGTACAGTCATGGCGGAAGAAAATGAATCCCATTACTTTCCGGACAATTACTGTATATATATATATATTATTCTAGTCTTTCTTTTTTTTTAAATTTACTACCACGTTTCTCACTTTTCTATCTTATTTTTTAAAAACTTACATGTTGTTCATATTGATGTTTGTATATGCTTGATGGATGTATTTACTGGCATATTTCTTACAATTTCAAGAGATGAGGGGAAGAGCACCAGATAGTGAACTCCCCGTTGTGGTTTTCAGACAGTCAACATTTGTTTTATTTTTTTTTTTTGTTAATACTCATGTTTCTCTTTCTGATAATTTTTTGGAGAACTGTTTGGAAATAAAGGCATTTATTATTATTATTATTATTATTATATAATTCCATTTTGGTTCTTTGGTTTATATTGTCAACGTAATTTTGTAAGATTCTGATCCTTTAAGCCAATAATTTCATTAACAATTAATTGTTGGTTTCAGGTCTGTCAGATCAGGTAGATACAGGTGCTCCAGCGTCGATAGTCAAAGTTCCAATGACTCCAAAGGCTCAAATAAGAAAAGGCGCCACCGTGGAAAGCATTCTGACAATGAAAGTGAACTGTCCAAGAGTTCTTCTCGATCCAAGAGAAAGCATCGTAGAAGAAGATCTAAGAGTCGGAGAGATTCCGAGTCTGATCACGATAAATCTATTGACAGAAGGTCTAGACGGTCTGGATCATATTATGAACTGGTTGATTCCGGTCAACAATGGCAAAAAGTGCAAGAGACTCTTTCCGCCAGGGAAGCACACAATGTAAATATACATAAAGCTAATGTTATAAGTAGTAGACGTGAAGATAGCAACGAACATCATCACAACAATACCAATAGAAGAAGAAAAGACAGAAGGCATAGATCCAGATCAAGATCGCCAGCACCAGATGCGAAGCCATGGATAAGCAACGAGCTCAAACAACATCTGGAATTTGACCTGGTAGACACTTCAGGCATGTGCGACAGACAGCTGAAACAAATCCCTTACACAGTCGTTGAAACAAACTACTCCAAAAACGTCAAGTTGAAGCAGTCTAATCCGATAAAATCTGAAGACAGACTAAGAGTAAATCACACGTCAAGTACGTCAAGGAATTACAACAAATCAAGTTATCCGTACAGAGATAGGAATGGATCATTAAATGAAGTTCTCACGAGCTTTTCAGACATGCTCTCGGAACCATTACAACCGTCTTATTACCACGGTATGAGCCATGCCGTTTATAATTCAGATAATCTGACTAATTTCGGCAGGATTCATCACGAACATTCTGACTCGGGCCTGGGCATGGAACAGGATCTTAAAAATTGAACTAAATTATGGTTTTGCGATGCGAATGGAATGTTGGACTGGTTCACCTCTTTTGTGTTCTCGAGATGCAATACTGTAATTATTTATTTATGTCATACAATCGATTTGTGAATTATAGTGATAAAGATATTCGTTTTAGTTTAATTATAGTCCTCGGAAAACCTTATACATATACCTCTACTTTCTCTGGTGGTTTATGATTTCTAAAAAAAGGCCAAGTAGATTAATTCGGTGCTTCCCACACACTTATGTAAATAATAGATTATCAAATTATTCATATCTATTCAACGTTAGGCGTACCTTTAAATAACCCGATTCGGGTAGCAATAAAAGGTATGAGATTTGACATGCAATTTTGAGAATTCAAAAAGGACATTTATTTATTCAAATAACAACCAAAAAAATGTGGTTACTCGTTGAGATTGGAAAACATTGTAAAGGTAGAACATCAAGCGGTTCAAATACGTTCATAATTGTTCGAAAACACTTTTCTTTCTTTTATTTTTGTTGGCAAGTCTGCTGTCAATGTACCGATTCACAAAAACAAAGTTGCATTATCTACTACGATCATACAGCATATTACTTCTCCAACTTGATCTAGGATCGGTTTAGTCGTTACTGAGATTACGAGACAAATTGTCTACGGACAGACCAATGCAAATTAGTGATATGCATTTTTGTTTACTAAAAATAAAGGTCACCAGATGCCTGAAAATTAATTTCCTATTTGGAAAATGTTTACAGTGGCGTCGAAAGTAAAATAACATTATGTAGACTAACCCGTTACTACCCACGCGTACTGAGTTCATTCATTTTGAAAAATTTGAGACTTTGTTATATATATATATGTATATATATATATATATATATATATATATAAATATCGTCATCTTGGATATGATTGAAGTAAGTTTATTATATTCAACAGTATTTTAGACTAATTATTGTTCTTGATTACGACCTGAATTTAAGAGTATCCCCAATATTCTAACTTTTCTCAAAAAATACGGTGATTAGTTTTGCCATTATAGGTTTAAATATTAAAAGTGCCTACGCTACTGGTGTTTTATATATTTTAATTCCTCTGTTGCATGGACAGATCACAATACAGTATTTTAACCTAACATTGATCGCAAAATAATATCAAACTCATGAATAGCCAATAGCGTATTTGGAAACATGTTTCAAAATACCTGAGACACACCACAAACAATATTTACAACGCTGTTTCGATGAGGCAAGTTTCTGACAATACATCGAGCATTCCTAAAATCTTAGTTTCCACAGTATTGAATAAATTAGGGGCAAAAAATGTATAATAAAGCCTAATCATTCATCTACGACCTACAGTATGGACACACCCAAAGTAAGGGTGCTAGAAAAAACTTTGAATACAAAAGTTTTAGGAAATCAAATGGTGCATCTAGTGGTTGTAAGGAAACTTTTTTGGCTTTCTATTTCTGCAATCCAAAATTTTCCCATTTAAAAAATAAACTTGCCCTTGGAATGACCTTCGAGGTGAACGTCAACGCCAAATCCAAGGTAACCACTGTATGCGCCATTTTGGTATCTAAAGTTTTTTCTAGTACCCATAAGATATTTAGGTATGTCCATACCTGAACTAATTCTCGTTGACAAACTGCATATTCAACTTCCTTCTGCGTTTGCAACACTATCTGTGCAAAATCAGCTCACAACTAGTAAAATTATAAACCACAGTAAACATAAAACTGATTGATCCGGCCTGAAGGTAGTTTTTATATAAAATTATATGATTAATATGCATCATCTCCGGCATGTGTACACGTAATCGATGTCCAGACGTGAGACGCCGGATTTCCTGCTGACTAGAATTATATTAAGAGACACCAATGACCTCAAATCAGGTGCGTATAAAGGCAAGAAATTTATTACATGTCGTCGAAAAGATGATTGTCCCCACCTACGATTTGTGAGAGATGCTACCATGTAGGGTAGGATTAATGTTGCAGCGTACATGGGCTGCCATCAGTGGCATATACGGTGAGACTCAAATCATATGTTAGAAAGAGTGCGCGGATGGCTTCCGTGACATTGTACTCGGGTTGCTAGGCAACGAGGTACTTCTATCTCTTTCTAACACACGTATTGCACGCATCTCTCGCTTCTCTCAAACGGATCAGTCCAAAAAAGTAGGCCCTTGGATCCAAAACATTAATTTCAACCACTAGTCCAGAAACAATGTATCCTCAATTTTTTTTCTTGCTTTGCGATTAGATATCGATATGTATGACAAATAATGTTGTGTATGATTTTTGATACGCTCGGATGGTAGCCTCGAACATTTTAAACCTGTTTTTAAAGCATTAATAGTCCTTTCGATCGAATGGAGATGAATAAAAAAAGACCTATATCGAAAAAACCGTAACTACAAAACAGGAAAATACGTCTTTCGCTATCCATGCTTACTTTTTATCAACTATCCTCCAATATTTTTTTAATCATGTCACTTCAAAATATTGAAAAATACACAAGACCAATTTTCCTGCAGCTAAAGTAAAATATTCTTCTTCGTTCAGAAAAGCACCCTTATACTAGTTTCAATCTCTCTAACGGATGGACAAAAATATACATAAGAGTTTTTACTCTACAAGTTGAAAATACAAAACAATGAAAGTTTACTAAAAAAACACAAACACACACAAAAGAGCTAGTTGCCAGTTTTTTACGGACAAAGTGGCATACCTTTCAATACCCTCCGTGGTGTCAAAACGTTTTCCTTCCATCAGTTTTTATTTTTGGAAATTGTCAAAAATCGCATGGTACTAAATCCGGAGATGTGATCAGCGTATTTTTTTTTTTTTTTTTGTTGAAAACCACAAAAGAAACAATTCAAAATCCCATAAATGGGCTTTCAACATTTTGCATATATTTTTTCCTAATAAATGTCATCAATTTTGCAATTAAAATAAACTATTCGTGAACAAGATCTCATATTTTTTTCCAAGATATGCTGATTAGGTTGCTGTCGCCTATGAATGCAGAACACGTTTTTTTAGTATCCTTTCAAATCAGAAAATAAAAGTCTACAGGCTACAGCCACGATTTTTAGTTGGCGTTTTATTACTCATTTTTTATAATATAATCTACTCGACACGTATAGTTCATCGTATGACAAATTCTTTTGAATACGAGAAAGAACCACTGTCTTAAAGTTAACTGTACCCAAACTTTCAATACACACATTAGCATGAAAAGTACCGCAACAGCCGTTATTATATATTCCGAGACAACCATCAATTTTTAATCACATTAGTCAAGATACAACAAAATATATTGGTGTGTCAACTGTGAGAGAATACTGGGCTTCAAAATCAGTGACACAAATTTTTGAAAATACTTCCTGACTTATTCCAAAAGAACACTAAAAGGGTGGAAGAAGTGTTATTTTCGAATTTTTAGAAACAGGTCCCCTCTTGCCGAACGGCACACTTTTCATTGAACACAGACTCAATGTTATTTGAGCTAAATATACAGGGTGGGGCAGAAAGACCTCCCCGATTTGGAAACCGTCTAGCTACGCCAATGGGGGGATAGCGCAGTGGGGAATATATCATTCGACGTGTCTATTCCTGCCATTTTTAGTATAAATATAAATCATGTGATTTTTTTCTTTGGGGCTACTTGAAAAAGTGTGCCAACATCGCCCCCAAATTCTAGACACTCTCAAGGAGACGATAATCCATGAAATTGCTGACATTCCGCCTGACATGATCAGCAGAGTGATGGAAAATTGTCGGGAGAGGCTTACTCAGTGTATCAACAATGGAGGCGCACCCTTGAGTGATGTCATTTGCAAAATGCATTGACTTAAAATGGCATTATATATGATTTTAAAAGAATAAAGTTTTTTCTATATCTTGATTAGGTCAGTTTTTATCGGCTCTCCAAGTATATATACAGGGTGACTTTGAAGTTGAGTCATTAATTTTCAGATAATGATTGTAGAAGGAAGATAAACCAAAATATGTATGTAAAAATAAAAAAAATAAAAAAAAAATGTTACCTTGTTTAATAAAGTATCCTCCCGACAAGTATTTCAGTGCGGACCTGTACTTAATCGTGCGGTCTTGGAGCTCCGGAATGCCCTCACCTGTGAGGTCTTAAGTCACCTGACTCACGAGCCCTTTGTACTACATTAACAAAGGCACGAGGGGTTGGTTGCACTCGATTGAGAAACCGATTCGCATAAATCCGTGATGCATCCGGCAGCATTTTGTAAAGACTGCCCCCCCGTAAATAAGAATCATGTCCACAAGTTCAGCATTTTCGTAAACATGTGCCATTTTTTATTTCGTTTGAGCCACGCAACAAACACCACTATTCACTCACGCATTGACTGACATCGTGATAAACGTTTCAAATTCTTTCGCTTTTTTTGTTTCCGATGCGATGAGGCGGATTATATCCGTTGTTGCCAAACACGAGCACATAATATTATTATTGAGACAGGGCGGTACTCAAACTTCTAAAGGGCTATAACTTCGTTAATTTAATTTTACCAGAAAAATGTTAAAGGAAAAAAAGATTTCTTTTGATCAGGTCTACTCAACTCTATTCAACATTTTGCATATATTTTTTCTAATAAATGTCATCAATTTTGCAATTCAAATAAACTATTCGTGTACAAGATCTCATATTTTGTTTCCAAGATATGCTGATTAGGTTGTTGTCGCCTATGAATACGGAACACGTTTTTTTAGTATCCTTTCAAATCAGAAAATAAAAGTCTACAGGCTACAGCCACGATTTTCAGTTGGCGTTTTTTACTCATTTTTTATAATATAATCTACTCGACACATATAGTTCATCGTATGCCAATTTCTTTTGAATACGAGAAAGAACCACTGTCTTAAAGTTAACTGTACCCAAACTTTCAATACACACATTAGCATGAAAAGTACCGCAACAGCCGTTATTATATATTCCGAGACAACCATCAATTTTTAATCACATTAGTCAAGATACAACAAAATATATTGGTGTGTCAACTGTGAGAGAATACTGGGCTTCAAAATCAGTGACACAAATTTTTGAAAATACTTCCTGACTTATTCCAAAAGAACACTAAAAGGGTGGAAGAAATGTTA